TAAATTCCTTATGACCTAAAGACTATAGGTCTGTGTGCCATGAGCAATGTCTGTAAGGGTTAGCCGTGGCAGCAGGGCTGTGGCTGGGTTAGTGCTCCATGACTGTTGTCCAGTTCATGTCTTTGCTGAATGAACTACCAAACCAGCTGCTGTGGATGTGGTTGAGTGAAGGCACACTCAGGATTCTGCCTTGCAGCTTAGTTCAACTGGCAGCAATTCTTTGTGGCAGGATGCCTTGATTTTTAAATCTTAACACCCGTAGAAACTCATTTCTCCCAGCCTGGCTGAGTTGCAGCCATAAGACTGTCCTTAAGAGGGGATGGGGATTCTGCAGGAATGTGGCTGAGAATAAAGAAGGCAAGCTTGTGGCCACTTGATGGTTACACTAAGCATGGAAACAAACCTTGATGGTACCTGAAGTTGCATTCTTCACCAAGGATTCAGCAAAGCCATCAGGAACTTCAGGTGGGAGCCCCTCCGCCCCCACTCCATGCCTCAGGTCATTTTTTTTCCTAAATGATGCTTGGCTGGCAAGGCCATCCTGTACTTGTGAGCTCCCCATGAGAAAAAGTCTGTGAGGTCCAGTTGTGCTGAGTATACAGGAGTGGCTGCAGGTGGGCTACGGTGGCACCATGGACATGGGCAGACAGGAGACTGTGCTGTCAGGACTCAGAACCAGGGAGATCTGTGTACCCAAAGCATGGTCAGTTTTCCCCAAGGACTGTGTATCACAGTTGATGAATCTTCATTTTTTTGTTTTTGCTCCTAGAAAACTCCAAATCAAATTTCAGGCCTATTTTGGGAGTGATGTTACCAAGCAGAACTTTCAGCAGGGTTGGAAAACTTTATGTCCACACTGTTCAACATGGCAGCCAGCAGCCACATGTGGCCCCTGAGCACTTGAAAGGTGTCTGGCATTACTAAGGAATGGTCTTTTATTATATTTACAATTTCATATGTGTACACTATGTATTCTGGTCCCTCCTATTTCCTTCCTGCCCCTACCAGTCCCTCCCACTATAAATCTTTCCCTCCTATTTACTAGTTTTAGGGTTTTTCTTTTCTTTTCTTTTCTTTTTTTTTTTTTTCGGTCTTGTTTTGAGGCAGGGTCTCCCTGTAGCCACAGCTAGCCTGGATTAACTACGGAGTCCAGGCTGGTCTCGAACTCACAGAGATCTGCCTGCCTCTGACTCCAGAGTGCTGGAATTAAAGATGTGCACCACCACACTTGGCTTAGTTTTAGTTTTGTTTAGTGTACCACAAAGTTTAATCAGAGATGTCTCTCTGATCCTGAGTTTGAAACCATCAGACCCTCGTGGGAGCACAACTGGATACCATGATTCCCAGTCTCCTAGAATTTGTTGGTTTTCAACAGGTCACCGGTATGTGGTAGGGCTCCATGAATGTCTTCCCACTCCACAGCTGACAGTTAGGAGGGTGAGACCTCTGTGGACCCAGTACCAGTATGCACAGTTGCTCTGAGTTTGTGGTTGCCATGGCCCTGTCTAGCTTAGATGATATTTCACAGCCCATCTCCCTCTGTAGCCCTTATATTCTTTCTGCCTCCTCTTCCACAGTGTTCCCTGAGCCTTAAAGGGAGGAATGACATTTTAAATTTAACTCAAAATGTAAATTTCAGTGGCTACATGCAATTAATGGGCACCACTGAATGACAGAGCTAGAAAGAACATGGGAAACAATATATTTTCAATATCACCCCAGGTTTATCTTGTTTTCTATCAACACTCACTCAATCTGTTATTACTCTTCCTACCAAGTATGTAACTTTATCAGTCATCGTAAATCTCATTAAAAATGTGAGATCTACTTATAAACACACAAAAAGAAGATGCCATAGTCTTATTCCCAAACTTTTCTGGACCAGATGCCCGTCCTTGTGCAATAATAGCGTTAACATGTCTGTTTCAGGGAGGGGATTCCAGGGAGAGGGTAAATTCCTTCCGTTTCTATTTCTGTTCTGTTTCTTTAGCCAAGTGCCACTTACTCAGATGTTTACTTCATAAAACTCCATTGAGTTGTATATTTACAACTTGGGGATTTTTCTTCATGTCTATTATTTATAGTCTTCTCCAGTAAAAAGTAAACAAAACATATAAAGTAAAACCAATTGTGTTCAAATACAGTGTCAGTTTAGTTCTCTGAGATGCAAAGTCATAAACTGGCCTTGACTCCACAGAGCTGTAGTTAGTATCATCAAGCATTAATGAAAAATCCCTAGGATTCAGTGTCAGTGAACCCCATTTGCCTCCTGCCTTCCCTTAAACCTGGAAACAGAGAAGGAAGCAAAAGAGTTTCAGGTGTGTCCTTGTACCTCATCAGATCATACTGAGACATCTCCAAATCTTTATGAGGGGATGGGCTGCTTATGGAAAAGCAAAACACAACAAATCCTCATCTTTTCTCTTCCAGAAGAACTATAAAGGGAGGAGGTAGTCTCTGATGTATAGAATTTGAACACAACAGAGCAAGATGAGAAATGAATGCAGCCCATCTGAACAAGGCAACTAAAAACTACTCAGTGGAGATTTTCTCCAATGTCTAACTGCATCCAATTGAACAAAAATATTACCTTAAAATTAGATTTTAAAAATTTTTATTTATTAATTTTATTTTATGTGTATGAGTGTATTGCTTGCATGTATGTAAGTGCACTTGTGTTATGCAATTCCCATGGAGGTCAGAAGAGGGAGTCGGATTCCCTTGGAACTGGAGTTACAAATGATTGTTAGATGCCATGTGGGTGTTAGGAATCAAACCCAGGTCATCTGCAAGAGCAACGAGTACTCTTAACCACTGAGCCATCTCTCCAGCCCTTAAAATTAGATTTTAAAATGGTTTTAGGGAACTGTAATGATTAATTTTGATTATCAACACTTGACTGGATTAAGAAATGACTAGCCTAAGGCATTCATGGAGACACGTCTGAAGGTATCTGTGAGGATGTTTCCAGAGAGTTTCAACTGAGGAGGGAAGACTCACCCTGAATGTGGAGAGTACCATTGCCTGGGTTGGTATGCCAGACTGAACAAAAAGAAAACAGAGAATGCCAGCTGAGCACCAGCATTCATCTCTCTCCACTTCCTGATCTGCTGGGATGCATGCAAGCAGCCTCATGCTCCTGCTGCCCCAGCTGCAGGCCTCTCCTGCCACCAAGCCTTCCCTGGCCATTCATTCTCAGAACTGGCGGGGGGAGGGCAATTTGTCAGCTCTGCTCTTGTAGGTAACATACTGCTACTCAGCATACTGCCGTTCCAACAAAGTTCTGCATTTCTGTGTCCAAGGTGTAGATCTTTTTTCTTACTCTTTTCTTGGTCCCCCTCACTTCAAAAGCCTGGACCTGTATAGGCTTTATAATAATCATGTAAATGTGTAGGCCATCTTTGGCATCTCCTCTGTTTCCTTTGAAACAGAGCCCAGACCCAGCCTTCCCACTTTGTCCTCTCACTTAGGTTATTAGAAGGATCAAGAGAAAACAGTCCTTCATGACTACAGAAAGGAAGAAATCTCTTCAGCAGTCCTCATGTTCATTTTGGTCTTTAGTACAAACATAATCCTTTGCATTTCAGTAACCTTTACTGGTGCAGCTGTCATACTTTGCATAACAAATTGGCAGTCTTTAAATGCATTTCAAAGGGGATTAGAGAGCAAACTCTAGTGTTCAATTCATTCGATAACAAAACCATGTTACTTGGTTTCTTCAAAAGGAAGTCTGAAAATGATCTAGCCCCTATAAACAACAGGCATCTCAAGGTGACCCTCTCCCTTGAGCAAGATGCCCTGGCTGCAGTTTGGGCTGGTTATCTGATATGTGCTTCTTCATCTCGTGATATGGGGATTAAAATTCTGGTGCTTAAAGCTGGAACCAACGCTTAAAACTGTGAGACTTAAAATTGTGAGACTTTACCTGCAATTCCAGTAGCCACAATCACCCCTCTAGAATTAATGACCCCAAAATGGATGTTTGTTCATTTCCTTCAGGTAGCCAAACATGAAAAGTGGGGTGACAGAGTCCAGGTTTTACTGGCGATGAGGTTAGAACCAAGGGTCTTGAGCATGCTAGGCAAGTGAACACCTGAGCTCCATCACTGAGCTACATCTCCAGCCTGAGGCAGTATGGAAACACAAATCTCTATACACTTAGAGCTGACTTACCTGCTGATTCAAGAAGACCTGGGTTAGAAAACAGTTACCAGACAAAGTTAGATATATTCTTTAACTTTATGCTCAATTTTGAATTCCAAATTGTAACCTGTTATCACTGATGACATTGGGATGAAGGATGCATGATAGGATGCAGGAGAAAGGGGAACTGTAAGGTACTAGCCTGGGAAGGATAAACCAATGTACTCTCCTTAGAATGTACTCATCCCCTCTTGGGGTGGGGTCCAGAGGCTCCAAAGGCATCATTTACTCCTTCAAATGTTTATGAGGAAGTTACTTTCCAAAAGCTCATTGACTTAAGCTCCTGAGGCAGCAACGGTAGATGGTAGGAGGTGGGGGCAGAGGGAAGGGAAGGCTTCTCTATAGACTGCCCATGTACTTTACAATTTTAAAACCCTACCCCTGGCTTCCCTTAAGTTCCTTCGTGGAAGTGAAGAATACATTGAACCCCTCCCCCCAAGTGTGAGAGGTCAGATTCAGAGATCTTTAACAGCAGGTGAGAGGCCCCTGTACCACTCCTAAGAGCCATGGGTGTTAGGGGGTGACCCACAGGTGACAGAGGGAACATCTGGAAGAACAGCACATGCGCATGTGTCAATGGAGGCCTACACTTCAGGAAACCGAAGAGAAGCATCAGGAGCCTTTCCGCCTCTGCTCTTGCTTGAAGTGTGGGGACACCCTGATCTCCTCTAGGATGGACAAGGCCATTGAGCTCTCTTTCCCTAACTCATGGCTCTAACTCCTACCTGGCTTTCTGGTAGAACAGATGGGCAGACAGACAGACAGACAGACAAGAGATGGACAGACGCCCTCTGTACCTGCAGAAGGATCTTGTTGCCATCGTGATCCTCCGTCTGCCAGCGCCCCTCACTGATGGGGCTGCAGGGGTTGGGTAGGAGTGGCACAAGCTCCCCGATGTCTTTCACCCGGAACTCCAGCACGGAGGAGTCAGTGGGTACCGGGCTCTGGTCGCGGGGCAGCCTTTTCAGGGAGAACTGGATGTCCACGTCCAGGTTCGAGAAAATCGGGAAGATGCAGAAGTCCGCTTTCCGCTGGCTGGGGCTCCTGCGCAGTATCAGCTCGTAGAAGCGGAGGCTGTCGGTGTAGTTGTCGTAGCGACAGTAGATGGTGAAGCGCACGATCTCTTTGCCATAGTGCACTGGTCGGATGGCCCACAGTGGAGTCCCGGGCGCTAGCGTGAAGAAGTCCTGGCTGCAGGGCAGGTAGGGGAGGAAGCGGCCGTGCACGCGCTCCGTGTGGTGGTGGCGCCAGGGCGGCCGCTGCAGCATGCGATGCAGCTGCAGGATCTGCTCCTCACCGTATTCCTCCTGCAGGAACAGCACCACGGCCAGCGCCGGCTGTGCGCCCTTGGGGGGCTTCCTCCTTCTGCGGCCCGAGCGCCGCTCGGACACGCGGAACAGCGGGAGGTCTGGGTGGACCCACGCCAAGACCTTGTCAATAGCCTCTTGCATCGGCTGGGACTCCCCTGGGTCTGCGATGATGTGGATGCTCACCAGGAACGGGTCCTGCGCCTCCTCCAAGGAAAGCTCACCTGGGGGCATGGATGGATGGATGGATGGATGGATGGATGGATGGATGGATGGATGGGTGGGGTGGGTGGATGGATGGATGGATGAATGAGTTGATGGAGGAGTAGATGGATGTTGGATGGATGGGTGGGTAGATGGGTTGGGTAGATGGGTGGAAGAATGGGTGGGTGGGTGAGTTGGTGGAGAGGTAGGTGAGTGGATGGATGGGTGAGTGGGTGGATGGATGGATGGATTGGTGGGTGGAAAGATGAAGTGACAATTACTACATTAAGAGGATCAGCAATGACATATATTGCCTTGGCAGAAAGGAAAACCAAATTCTAACTGAATGGAATCCATGACCTTTGATTTTGTGATCCCAAGTTCAGGTGCAAAAACTACTATGTGAGTGTCCTAATACATAAAAAAAAGAAAGGGCTATTTCTTCCAGCACTGGACAGTATTAGGAAAACCTTGGTCCCCCTGCCTGTCCATCAGGTTTCAGGCTTTCTTTCGGACAACAAAATTAAGTCTCTGCTGACTCAGAAAGAACAGAGCCACCAGAGAAGACACTGTAACTTACTTGTAGGCAGAGGTAGTTCAGGTTTCTAAAATAACCACAGTGCCTTATCCACAAGAGCCCCCCACACCACCTACACTCTTTAATTTACTCATTTCATCATTCTACTTTGTTCACCCCTTTACTGGACTTTTAGGGGCTCCATCCTATGAGGCAAGGGGTACCCAGGGAGGACAGGGAGCCCACTCTAATACAGAGATGAAGCATTCTGCCCATTGCTCACTCGTTGTAGGAAGCCTAGGACTGCGCTGTTGGAGACACAGGAAAGAGCATTCAGGGAATGAGTGCAACACACTGGGGCTGCGATCAGGGGTTAGTATGGTGGGACAGGTACTGCTCAGGTAAGGCTGCTTTGTTCTTCCTGAATCACATCCATTCAGAATCTCACACTCCCTAAATGGGTTCATCACCCTTCCTGTGTCCTTTGGCAGAATGCCTGGAGGCATCAGAGTTGAGTACAAAGCAGAGTGTTTAACTTGGCAACATTTTCCTATGGGGTGAGGCATTACACTGGCAATATTGGCAAATGCCCAAGTCAGACTCTATACCTGAGGAAAGGCTTGGGCTTTTAAAGTGTGATCTGTGTGCTTTTATCTAAATGCTATGACTGATCTTAGGGTAATCAAGACAACTGTGAAACGGGTGGGATGAGGTGGGCAAATTCATCTGGAATCTAGACCTGCCTTCTCAATGTCCACTAGGACATGAGGCAGAGTGAGCAAGGGTCTGTGATATCCAAGCAGTGCAGCAGGCCTTTAGCAGCCTTAACCTCAACCAGTTCATAGGATTACAGGGCATTTGGTATAGTAACAAGACATCCCAAGTGGACTTATGAGCCCCTTTCACACGTGTACCAGTTGTCATAGGGCACTAATATTGTTAGATCAAAACTTAGCTGTTCATCTCAACTCTGTTATCTAACTTGAGAATAGTTGGTTTTATTGCTGTCTTTTCTCTCATTTGCTCACACATTATTTGAGCAATTGATGTGTACAAGTTGTTAGGGATCACAATAGGAGTCTATCTGGATAGACTCTTGAGTGAACAGTGCTCCCCTAGAGTTGTACAGCCAAGGGCAGCATCCTTTTAAAGAACTACAGCCACTAGTGAGAGTGTAATGATTGAGGTAGGAAACAGATATAAAAACATAAATTCAATCTCATGTGTCTATAAGGAATGAAATAGAATAGCATCTTGGAGTAGGGGTCAGATTCTAAAGTCAATAAGACATCAGGGCTACCTACTGACAGTATGATAACTGAAAGCTTCCTGGATTCCTTTCTTTATTAATTATTTATTTGTGTGGGGAGGTGGGAGGGCTACACACTTGTGATGGTCTGTGTGTGGAGGTCAGAGGACTACCTGTGGAAGTCAGTTCTCTCCTTCCGCCATGTGGATCCTGGGGATCAAACTCAAGTTGTCAGGCTTGGCAGCAAGCACCTTTACCCACTTAGCCATCTTACCAGAACTTCCTGAACTTCTAATGAAGAACCAGATAGTAATAACCTGCAAAACCACACACTAGGTATGCAGGTGTTTCTTTGGGTGGACACAAATGAAACAGCCAGCACACAGGGCTGTGTGAGACAGAATACTCTTGTTTCTTTAGACCCCTACTCAGAGAACCAAGCTTCACTCTTCAGGAGGCTTTTTGGAGTAAAGAGGTTTCTGGAATTGAAGGACGAATAAAGTAATCTCAGTTCTTCCACAGTCACGGACTGGAATGGCAGGTGAAATTATTTCAACTGTCCTTCTTTCCCTCCCTCCTTCTGAAGGGCACATCTTCCTGATTTTGTGTGCACCAAATATGGGCCTGATGAAGTTCCATTCCCATCTATACTAAGAAGGAGAAAGCCTTTCTTCTAAGAGGCTTTCTGGAGGAGGTTCCATGTGCCCCAGTCCTGGCAAGTAAATAGTATTTCACTTAGATTAACCTCAAATGTAGAAGGGATTACCATAGGAAGAGGGACACTATGAGACACTGTCAGGCTTGAGGAGAGGGACACTGTATAAGGAATGAGCATTTGGAAGCTGGTGGCAAGTATGGCCACAGACATGACTGGAGAGACAGACAGGAGCCAGCACCAGCTCAACTTGGTAGGTGATAGAAAGCTTTAACACAGGGATGTTGCAAGCAAGTCAGGGAGGAGGTGGACTACAGGTAAAGTAAGGAGCAGAGGGATTGGTAAAGAGGTCAGACAAGGGTATCAAGGGCCAGGTACTGTTAATGTACCCATTTTTTTTTTTTTTTAAACTACCCTGTGTCCTTACTCTCTGCTATGTGACTTTAGAGCTCTTCCACTTAATGTGTGTGAAGCATATTTTCCCAACCTTTGTGACAAGACTATACACCTAGGTTTGGCTGGTAGACAATGAGCTGGGCCGTGTGCTTTGGTTCATCTTCCTGTATTTCTGACATTTCCACGAGAATGTGCTCCAGTGAGCCTAATAGTCCCAGGAAGAGGATGGGGTCAGAGCCACCCAAGCAGATGTTAAGAGTCATGTAGATCAGTCAGGGTTAGATTGTTGAGCCAAAACACATGGGAAATAAAAATGATTGCTGTTTCAAGCCATGGGTAAGGAAATGGTTGTTATGCAGCAGTAGTGACAGGTGCAGGCGGAATAGGGGTTGGCAAAAGAAATGAGGTATACAGGCTAATTAGGAGGCAGAAAGATCAGCCCTAGAGCCCTCAGGCATGGGGCAGTAGTCACGACATAGGAGAAGGGTGTACTGGTGCTTCTGTGCTGTTTAACTAAGATAGCAAACAGAAGAGAAGGTCCGGCTTGAGGAGAGGGACCAAGAGTTCTGTTTGGGCCACCTGCCTTTGAAGTGTGAATGACTTCCATGAGGGATGTCCCTTGGCAACTGGACTTTGGTGTTGTTAAGTTAACAGGCAAATCAAGGGTGGACCTGTGCTACCTGTAGACAGTGTCTTGCATTTCTGTGGTTACTGGATATGTGTGTTCCCATCCTGATTTGTATTATGAAAAATCCATCATGATGTCTTGGAGAGCAGCTAGAGCTCCATACTCCTCTGACCCTGTCTTTGCTTGCTCTCTCTGCCTACTTGGCTTCTTCTGTTTTGGTGAGCACTGACAAGATCAGCAACAGCAGGAGCAGTTGAAGCAAAAGTAGTGAAGATGCAAACCAGTGCTAACCCCCTAGCTGTGGCACCATGCAAGAAGGCACCACAGCCACTAGCAAGCACACTTCCCTCTCTCAGGCTGCCTCAGACTCCTAATGCCAGAGGAGGCTGGCTTTGCTACACACTGATCAACACTCAGTATGAATGGGAAACGACAGAAAGGTTTTAAAAAAAACAATGAAAAAATTTGGCCAAGAAATTAGGGAAACAAGAGTATAGAAAGCAGAAGGAATGCTGGGGAAAGAAGTTGTGAGAGAAGTGAGGTGACCCCTTTAAGATCCAGACTCAGGATGTACACAGAGACCCAGAGTGATGAGTTAACTGACACATGATGCCTTATTTACTTATTTATTTTAAGTTCTGAATGTAAGAGCTCATTTCATTCTTATACAACTCTTGAGGAGAGTGAGATTATTGTCCCCATTTTAGAAAGCAGGAAATACAGGCACAGCGGCCAAGAGACTCGCTAAGGGCAGGCAGAGCCAGAGGTGGGGCTCTCTCCGGCATGGAGGTGTGTGAGCTCCATCGCCCCCTCTTTCTGCTGCTTGCTTCCCAGTGGAATGCCCAGCGGCTTACTCCACTTTGTTTGACCAGGCTACCACTACCTTGCCCCTCCCTCTCAGGCTGTCTGCAGCTCTTTTCCTTACTTTTGTCTCCCTTCCCGGCCACCAGCCAATAGCTTTGAATCTTGGATATTTATTTGCATTTCTTTCCTCTGGTCTTCAAGTCTTTGCAATTCAGCGCTGGCCTGGAGGGCAGCTCAGTCCAGAGGCCCAGGTGGGGGTACTAGGGGAATAAAGGCAGCAGAGTGACCTCAAGAAAGCCCATAGGTGGGCAGGAGAAGTTGGGTGTGAAGAGGCCAGAGGAGGTAGCAGTTGAGATTCTCAAACAGTGTTGTCAGGGCCCTCAGCCTTATGCCACCTCCAGCGCTGCACAAAGGTTTCCCAGAGAGCAGGAACAAAGGCTTTGCTGAAGCCTGCTCAGATGGCTGTTTACAGCTCTGCAAAGGGCAGGCTGCCCAGTCTTGGAGCGGGAGCTGGGCTAAAGCACTGGGCCCAGCCCGTAGTGCTGGCAGCTTGGATGCATCCAAGAGCAAGCAGGTGGAAGACAAGGCCAGAGCCTGTGCTGGCTTTGCACTGCATGAGCCTGGCAGAGTGGCTGAAGTCCCGCCCCAGCACAGCTAAGGGGAACCCTGCAGTGACAGCAATATGCTTGCTGGTGCCTACTCCAGGTGACCCTGAAATAGACTCAAAGAACCACACAGCACAGCTCCAAACTGTCATCAAGTGCTAGAGTT